CGGGTATGGGACCGTGTCCCATTCGATAGGGTAGGGACGTACCACCCCCAGCTTGTTCATGTTTTGCTGAAGTTTCAGCGCATTGAGCTGGTCCTGGAACTCGTCGAATCTTTTGTCACGGGTGCTATCCGCGGTGTGCGACGTTCCTATCGATGTTTTGGAGGAGTAATCGGACTGCCGATCATCCTCTGTCTCAGCCGCTGGTCGGTGAGGAGGTACCCACTCCTTGTCCCTGGTTTGCCGGGGTAAGGGACGTTGGGTCCTCTTCTTCTTCTTCTTCTTGTTCAGCAGTTGCTCCATCATCTCTCTCAGAGAGTCGATGGTCGCCTGCTGTTCCTCCAGCTTTTGGGCCATTGTTTGCTCGGTATCGAGTCCGGTCATGTGCACTCTCGCCTGCGCGTCTTGACTTGAGCGCGAGGTCTGAGATGTGGCTGCCGCCGAATGAACCTTGTCTTCACCGTAGGAGGGAGGTACTAGGGTGGAATAGTCAAACCCAATACTTACCCCCCTGCGACTACGGGTTCGCTGGAATATGCCTTCCTGCCTGCCGTCCTGCCGTCGAGCGAACCAGTGTTAGGTTCAGGACGGCAATCCGAGTCTGGCGAGTCGGAGAGTACCGCCTTCCCTCTTATCCGTTCATGTTGAGCTGTGGCTGGAATGGCGAGCTCTAGTCGTCGGGCCCGCGGCGTCCCTTTCGTGACGACGCCTTTGCGGGAGGCTTTGGTCGAGAGACTGTTGGAGAAAGCCTCTCGAACACGAGAGGTCTCGCCGTTCCGACGCATTGGCATCGGCGAGGACCGTGTGGATGAGTCTCTCGCAGTGGCACTGGAGGATTCACCTCATGTAATAGTACGCTTAGGCGAGTGTAAGTATTCCTGAGGTCTTGCCGTGGGCGGTTGGTGACAACCGCCAAGCTTTCAGAGGAGTCACTCGGTGGGTGGTACGGGAGATTTTTAGATGCATCTCGCGGTGCGCCCATTGCGCGTGGTATGCTTTAGGTGCTGGAGTTGGGCTGGTCTCGCGTTGACTGGCGATTTTATGCGTTTGAGCGAAAGCTCCAGTACGTAAGGCGAGTTCACCCTTCGTTTGGAAAGAGCCGGGTTCGCGAGGAATCGCACTACCCCTCTACCTTTTACGTTTATTCGCCAAATGATTATGGCGAGGCTCGCACAGCCTTCGAGATTCGACCTACTTGGGTAGGCTCGCTCGGCGCCGAGAGATCTTATTCGGCATCAGGGATGTGACACTGAGAAGCCGAAGTCTCTGCGGTTGGCGGGCTCTACGCTCCTCGGTTTGCGCTCCTGATTGTGCAGGGCTCCGCGCGTCGGGCAGCTTGCCTGCTCGTTCTAGTGGTTCCTCGGGCCTGTATGATGGTTCAGGCTATTGTGAGAAACGGAGTTGGGCCTCGCTGCGACGAGCATTTGCCCGGTGCGGCTGGCTTAGTCTCTCCAGCGGGGGGATGAGCGTCTCCGGGGCCGTCGGCGGTGCGTTTGTTGCCGGGTAAACCGGCGTTTCCTCTGAGGCAGGTATCTATGATGGACGCTTGGGACCCCAATTTGGTAGACCTTGTCTCCTGCGCATCGGATTCTCTGGCTTGCCTTGATCGATGGCGAGGAGTGAGCTCTTCGATGAGACTCGGAGGGAACGCGTAGGTGCAGAGGCTTTGACCGTCTGAGTCGGGCCTCAGCGCACAAACTCTGTGGACTTTGCGGGACTGAATCGCCGCCAAGAGGAGGAAGGAGGACAAGTAGCTCTTCGTATTGGCCTGGTTCGACTCAATTTCTAGGGACTCCAACGGTCGTCCGACAGAACCTCATTAAATTGAGCGCACACCATTTCGTTCGATGAAACAGCTTCCTCCCACTAGTGGTCGCCATACTTCTGTAGGAAGTGAAAATTTGAATTTTCGCCAAAATTAGGCAGTTCTCGTTTGAAAGCCGGCGTTTCCTCTGAGGCAGGTAGTCTATGTGGACCGCTTGGCGACCCATTTGGTAGACCCTTGTCTCCTGCGCATCGATCTCTGGCTTGGCCTTGATCGATTGCGAGGGAGTGGCTCTTCCGATGAGACTCGGAGGGAACCGTAGGTGCAGAGGCTTTGACCGTCTGAGGTCGGGCCTCAGCGCACAACTCTGTGGCGTTTGCGGGATGCATCGCCGCCAGAGGAGGAGGAGGACAAGTAGCTCTTCGTACGTTGGGCCTGGTCGAACTCAATTTCTAGGGACTCCAAGCGGTCGTCCGACAGCAACCTCATCAAATTGAGCCACCACCATTTCGTTCGATGAAACAGCTTCTCCCACTAGTGGTCGCCATCTTCTGTAGGCAGTGAAAATTTGATTTTCGCCAAAATAGGGAGTTTCGTTGTATATAATAAGAAGGCTTATTACAAACTAACAAATCAAATGTTTACAACAGAAGCAGAGGGAATGCCCTCTTTGTTTTGTGTGGGGACTTTAGGTGGCTATAGGACGCTTCGCTCGATGCTCGTGTCGAGTCTGCTTCCCTTGGACCGTTCGATCGAGGTTGCTGGAGAGCTTCAGTTCGCAGTAGAAGCTCGAATCGATGGAGTTCGGGTCTGCTTAGTTCGCCGGCGATCGGAGCTCAGAACTAGGCAGTGGTGCTGTAATGCAGGGATCTGCTAACAGCTTGGTCTCAATTACTTTTCTCCAAGTTTTGCGACCTCCCCTCCAGTGTGCTGGAAGGGGCTTTTAAATGGAAGAAGGACAGCTTGACTTCTCCTTGAATTATGGGATGTGACCATACGTGGTTCGGAGACGTCCTGCTGTTCTTCGTACTGCCAGCGATCATTCGAAGTGCTGTGCTCTGTATCACGTTTCGTAAGAGTGGGAAAGCCCCTCCTCGTATGCGTGACAGCGGCTGGCAGATGCTTGCGTGGATCTGACCAACCACCGAGCGCCGGCGGCTCTCGACCCCTCATTTGGGACAACTGAGGTGAGCCGCATTTATGAGGGCGCAGGCTGTTTTGACATCGTACTGTAGGCGGCTTGTTCGGCGGGCCTGGAGTGCCGTGCCTTCTCTCTTCAGGTCAGGAGAGGCGGGAAAGCGTGTTCCTGGTACTCGAGTGGGTTTGGACAGTTCGCCGAACGCCGGCGGATTCGTCTCCCGACTTAGATAGCCGATGTGAGTCACATTTATGACTGTTCAGGTCGACTCGACACCCGTCCAGTCCTTCGCACTGCAAGTACTGTGAGCGGCCGCCTGGCGGTCTTGGAGTACTGTGCCCTCTCCCTTTGGGTCGAGAGAGAGAGATGGGAAGGCCCATCTTAGCACGTGGGGTAGCGGATACCCAGCTGTACCGACGGCCTGGGGGTTTGCAGGCGGATTCGACTTGGGACTTGGGCATGCGAGTCGCGTGAAAGGCAAATTTCCGCTATTCCAACTGATCTCAACTCGTGCAGGCGAGTCGATTGTTCAGGCGAATCTGGAACCAAGCACGTTTGACGACTATACGGCTTAGACATGCGACTTCTTGAGGGCGAATTTCCTGTAGGCTTATCAGAGGTATTTTTTACCGTCTACAATAAGGTTATCATTGGATGATGACATGTTGGAACTTATGAAGATTCAAGAAAGCAAAAACCCGGCTGATATGCTTACGAAGATTGTCACTACAGAGAAACTGAAGTTGTGTTCAACTTCAGTTGGCCTCATTACTTGATGATATGGGAGGCCGTCGCCGCAGGGAAATGTGATAAAGATTGAAAGTTAGTCTCCAAGTGGGAGATTGTTAGGATATGTGGACTCTAACTATCAGACTTGCCCTATACCTCTAATTGAAGAGGGAATATGAGAATTGAAGAAACAGGAACGATGGCGATGAAGTTCAGACAAAACGACGAAGGAAACAACCTGGAAGCCTCACGGTCGACCGCAAGTGACGCGGCGGTCGACCGCGAACATGTACAAGACCTAGAAAAGTCTCTGGACTTTTGGCGATCGACCGCGATAACATGTGCGGTCGACCGCGCCAAACCCTTTAGTCGATTAAGTTTCTGTCATTTCTGTCCGGTCGACCGCGACTGTCTCTGCGGTCGACCGCGAGTTGGGTGGGCCTGGGCTCCTTTTTTATGAACTGTTTGAGATTCCTGTTTGTATTAATCCTTATGTTATTAAAAGGGTTATTAGGGAAACTTGTAAACTGACGAAAATATTGCAATTTCCTCCTGCGGCGGCCGTGGACGTAGCTTCTCACATCGAGAAGTGAACCACGTAAATCTTGTGTGTTTTCTTTTTGTGATTGAATTTTTCTCTCTCTTCTCTCTCATCTCTATTACTAAATCGCATTAGGGGTTAGATAAAACCCTAACATAACAGACATTTATTGTTTTGAACATTATATTCTCATCGATCCCACACAGTCTGTCTTGAGTTCGGAGTCTCTTATCAGATGCTAACCACAAGATATAAATGTGTTGTTTATGCATATTAAATCTCTCCCAAATATTATACCACCAATTAGCCAGAGAGATGAGGATACCCTTGATACTGCAGCTTTGGGGGAGTCATTTTGGAAACATGAAGATTTGACCAGTTGGCCAGAGAGTGACGAGGATAAATCTCTCTATAAGCCTATCCTTGATACTGTAGTTTTGGGGACTCATTTGGAAACATGAAGATTTGGGGGACTGAGTTTAAAATATGAAATTTTATTCAAAACAAAGATTTAGGGGACTAATATTAAATTAACCCTTCTAATTTTAAAAGAAAGATTTCTAGTTTGAATTTTTTTATTAAGCCAAGCTCTACCCCGATAACCAATTAGGCAATCAGTCAATCTGTGAAAACGTAAGCAGAAGCCTTTGCCTTAGCATGCACACAACGCATTCTCGGATCCGCCAATCTCTCCAAAAGAAATGGCCAAGTAAACCTGGGCAAAGCCACACGTGCCAACAAGTGGCTTCACTGCGCAAAGAACGTGCAACTCTCCCCTAACTCCTCTAAAATAACTAACTCCTACCACGTGCAAAGAAAATCAAGCCATTCACACAAAAAAAAGAAGAACCAATAATGGCTAAAGCAAGAACAAGACCAATGAATTCTAGTTCTCTTCTTAAAATTCTTGAAGTGTTCGCGGTGGCATTCTTGCTGTTGATAGCCGTTGATGGATCGACGATGGAGAACGCGAAGGAGAGAGTAAATCTAGCAGCAGATGAAGGCAAAATCAAAGGCTCAGAGACAATGCAGGATGCCATGGAGACCATAGAGTCCTGGGCTGGGTGGGCCAAGGAGAAATTAGCGTAAACTCATTAGTTAAAGATTGATTATCTAAATATATATGTTTTTGTTGACTGGTTTGTGAATTTAGGTTATTAATTTTGTTTTGATGTTGTTGCAGGGGTTTGGGGATTGCCATGGATGATGATGAAGAAGAGGCAGCCAGGGATGCAGTGAAAAAGGCACGAGATATTGCAGTGAAAACTAAAGATATGGTGGCTGATGTTGCATCTGGTGTATAGTTATTATCTATGTTTCTATGTTAACCTTTCAACAATATAAGCCTAAATCCTTTTAACTAAGAAAATGTGTTATTTGTTCTTAAATAACCCAAAGTTTATTCCATTGTTAACTTTGACACATTACGTTCTTTTCCCCCAAAAATAGTCCAAAGTTTAAAAAAAAATTCACTGTGACACCCCCTGTCAAGTCAAAGTTGAAAATTGAGGTAAACTTTTGCGTATACAAGTGCAATTGATAAATAGTTTTTTTTACTTTATCCGTAGAGGTCTTTTCAACTAAGTTGCTTAGAATTGAGGGTATAATTTTATATTCGAACATGAGATTAAAAATTCTTTTATACATTGAAACATATCCATGTATTTTTTGTAAAACCCATTTCAAACATGATCCTACTTCTCTTCCATACTTTGCAAGTGCAGTGCCATGAAAGCAAAACCTCATAATCACACCAAGGAACTCCTTTTCATATCCAAGAGAAATATAACCTTCAAATCCATGGAGTGATATGAAAATAAAAATCATATTGATCAAAAAATAATACGTATAAGGTTTACAATCATCTACTCATATGAAAAGTATAATATATTCCAAATAGGTCAAAATTTATTAAAAATGGAAAGTACAAAAATGTACCCTAAAACTCTCCCCATGATTGAGAAACAAATAGTTCAAATTTGAATTACAACCAAATTGATTTCCTATATGACTCTAGCTTTTTTATTAAAAAAGGAAAAACCTAAAAATAAAGATATCGCAGCCGGAATTCTTGAAATCTATAGGCTTAGTTAGAATTTTGGAAGGTGTCAGTTTGGTTGGATCCATCTCATTGAGATACACCAGAAACATATAATATTATATGTATCAATACTCCTTTCTCATTAGGACATTTTTTTTTTTCTTCTTGATACAAGAGTTATAATTTTACTTTAATTATAACATGCAGGATTGAGTGGCTTTTATTGACTCAAGCTTGGAATATTTTTCATAGCCATAAACTTTTCTAAACGTGGATAGGAACTTGGGCTATTGCATGCGTTAGTATATTTTTAAAAGGGTTTTTTAGATATTAGTCCCTCAAATATTCAATAATTCCATATTAGTCACTCAAATCTTCAAAATAGCTCATAAGTCTCTCAAATCCTAAGGTGACTTGCAAATTGGTCTCTCAATGGCTAAAATGCCCCAAAAGCTGATGTTTGTAAACATAGAGATTTATGAGAAAGCTTAGGGCTTCTGGCCAGTACTGAGAGAAGAATATGCAAAACCCCTTAGGATTTGAGGGACTTGTGAGCAACTATAAAGATTTGAGGGACTGATATGGAATTATTAATGACTTAAGGGACTAATATCTAAGAACCCCTTTTTTAAGAGATATGCTTCATTTAAAATCGATTCACATAATCAAACCTGATGGTTATAAGTTTTATTCTGTGAGATATATTATGCTTCTGAATCTACTGAAGATGTTAGTCAAAAGAAGAATCTAACAAAGATAAAAATGTTATATTAATCTGATAATTATATAGGAGCTGCGGACAAGGCTAAGGAGGCTAAAGGTGTGATGAAGGACAAAGCAGAGGAAGTGAAGGAAACATTGAAGGACAAGGCGAGCCATGCTTCAGAATCAATCTCCAACTTGTCAGTAGAGGAAGCCGAGACAGCTTATGAGGGTGCAAAGCATAAGGCCACTGAAGCCTACGACGCCATGAGCCAAGGTGCGAAGGAGGCCTACGAGGATGCTAAGGAGAGAGTAGTTTCGGATCAAGCCACTGGTAATCATGTTGGGGTTCTTATGAATCATGAAGCAGAGGAGCTTTGAGCAGTACCCAAATCCTTTCTCTTGTTTGAGGAAGGCAACATTTTGAATGATCTGCAGAAATTGATATTTATTTTGATTTTGTTGTAGTATGTCAGGAACATTTTTATCTATCAGATATATGCAAAAATCCTTTCTCTTGTTTGAGGAAGGCAACATTTTGAATGATCTGCAGAAATTGATGTTAATTTTGATTTTGTTGTAGTGTGTTAGGAACATTTTTATCTATCAGATATATGCAAAAATCTTTGACCTTGAAGGTAAACGTGTAAAACCCCAAAAAATTGAAAATATTATTGCAAATAATAATAATAGAGTTTTATTATGGTTGGTGATCATTCTAGGATGAATGGATCTGATTTTAATCGATTTGAGATCAGTTATATATATATATATATATATATATATATATATATATATATATATATATATATATATATATATATATATATATATATATATATAATTGATCTCAAATCGATTAAAATCAGATCCATTCATCCTAGTTTGTGTGTGTGAGTGTGTATGTGTGTATACCCGAATTTTTCCTCTTTTCTTCTTTATCCCTCACGTTTGAGCAGCATCCACTCTCCTCTCAAAACCCTATTTCTCTCATTTTAAAATTTTTGGAGAATTTTGTGAATTGATCGTGAGGAGGACGAGGTCTACGATTTTTGTGAAGGAGGATCGAGTTCCTCGCACGTTTGACAGATCAAAACAAATTCAAAAGGCAAGTACATCTCTTCCCAAACCCATCCCTATAGATTTTTGTTTTTAATGGTTTAAACCCTGATTTGATGAATAGATCTATAGATCTGAACACTAAATGAAGAAAAGATATAAATTTTTTTATGATTAGAACCATTAGTAATTGCTAATTAATGAACTGATTAGGATTAGAACCCTAATTAATCAACTTAAATATGATTAGTGATGTTTAGGGAGATTAAATCCCAAAAATACATGTTTTGTTGACGTATACCACTTGGCTAAGCCCCCACTTTGTTAAATACAAGATTTAAACCTGTTTTCATACCCCATGATTATGTTTCACGAGTTCTTTTTGAGAAAGTCGATTAACTTCATGAAAACTATATTTTTGTTCCAGTACTCGGGTCGGTCGACTGACCTTATGGATCAGTCGACCGACTTGACCCTAAAGATTGAATGATTTTCTCTCTGGTCGGTCGACCGACATATGTATCAGCCGACTAATTGAGACTTTTTGGCTTGTGCATGTTTGTGCACATTCGCGCTCGGTCGACTGATGGACAATCAGTCGACTGATCAAGTGTCAGTCAACTAATCACCAAGGGCAGTTGACTGATTTGTTGATTTTACTTATGATGATCTTCCAAACATGTTTGGTCGTGAAAATGAAGAACGAGCCGCTCGTCGATATACGTGCGTGACCATGAGAGTGCAAGTTTAGGGTTTGAGCACGCACGAGCCTTTGGAAGTGCGTAGTCTAATGTTTTGCGTTTAACGCGATAGGGAATGACGATTGATTTAGTTTACAATACTTTTAGATGTTTAAGTACGTTAGTCTGTGTAGCGTATGAGAACACGGGTGACTACACTCTGAGTGTGTTAGTCAATGTACCGTAGGAGACTTTGCGGGTGACTACACTCCGTGATGCATCATTGTTTCGGTGGTTGAGTGTGCATGTCTGTGCACCACATGATATTGCAGGTGACTGCACTCCGAGTGCATTAGTTCGTGAGCCCCATGGTACTATAGACGACTACACTCTATTTTGTTGGGACACCTTAGACTTTGGCGAGTATTGATTATGGATGTGGTCCAGCATTGTGGCTTCCATTATGTGATAGTTTATACTTTGACATGTTTCTCACAGGATTGTATATTTGTTCCTGTGCCACCTACCTGAGGGTAATGTGAGGTACTATGATGCGGCATAATTATGTACCAAAATTGCAAGTGCACAATTTATCAAGTTATAGTATAAAAAGATATCGATCCCACGAAGAAGGTGATTTTAAGAGATTATTAAACTTGGTTCTTATATTTTGTGCGTGACGATTAGGAATAAAGAATAAGTGTGATTGTATGAATGGTTATTTTGATTTATATGCAAGAGGTAATAAATTGAATTTTAGAGGAGAGAAGGAAGAATTAAAGAATAAATGAAATCATAAGGCAAGAAATATGAATTAATAAAATCAAGAAATAAAACCAAAAATGAAAAGAAAATTTAAGAAGGTTAAGATGAAGGATTCAAAAGAGGTAAGAAATCTAGAATATAATCCACTAACCAATTTCAATTACAAAATATAAACTATTCTCTTTTTATCATATTTCAACTTAGATTTATTAAGCATAGATTATCAAACCATTTAAGGAAAGTGTAACCTATCAAATTATCATCTAAGCTAAAATTACTATTCATGATAAGAACAACAACATGATAATAATCCTAGAATTCATAAGCATAACCTATCAAACCATTTAAGATAAGCATAGATTATCAAATTCTTCTTCTACCGATTAGTTCTCTAGTTGATTATCCTAAACATGAACATTTTAAGTACAAGAGAATAATTCATACAATATAAAGGAAATTAGACTAGTTTCATATAATTCTAAACTTCCTACAAGAATTAAATTCACATCTTTAAGAAATAAAAACAAGAAAAAGAACTAATTACAAAAATAAAAAGAAAAGAAAAATCTAAACTATGAACAAGAAATAAATCTAATTACAAAGAAAATAAAAATCTAAACTACAAAATAAATTGCAGAAATTAAATGCAAGAAAAATAAATCTACTCTAAAAATTAAAGTGCAAAAAGAAAATAAAAAAGACAAGAAAGTAAATCTATACTACAAGCATGAATTTAAATCTAACTAATAAGCAATAATAAAGAAATTACTAAAAAGAAATAAAAGAGAAAAGAAATGCAAACCTTCAAATTGCTCTTCATCTCCATCCTCATCATTCAACAAAGAGGAGAAAGAACAAATTTAAAGAGGAAAAAATTATTTTTATTAATTGCAACTAAAGTTACAATTTTTGGAAGGCCTTCTCAATTAAGAGTAGCCCTCCTCTCCAAAAGGAGTTTACAAAATTTTCACACCTCTAACCCCTCACTCTCTACCCCTATTTATAGTAATCTTCAATGAATATGAGCCATTGGATTTGTCTTGAGCCCCAAGCAACAATCTCCACCTTTGATTTATTTGATTTTCAAAAGAAAAATACCCCTATTTATAGTAATCTTCAATGAATATGAGCCATTGGATTTGTCTTGAGCCCCAAGCAATAATCTCCACCTTTGAATTTGCTTTTTATTCTTCTCTAATCCAACATAAGAGGCCTAATTTGATTTATTTGATTTTCCACATTTGCAGCAGCCCAAATGCATTTCCAAATCCAAAGTTTGGGCTTCTTAATTTCTTCATGCATTTTATTTTGGATTTGACTTTGGGCTTTGATATTTCTTGAGCTTTAATCCTTCATCATAGCTTGGGCTTTTGGATAATTTGGAAATTGATTTTCCAATGGCTTCATTTCTTCATTTAAACAATGAGTTTTTGTTGAGAGATAGGCGTTCGAGATTTATTCTTCATTAACCTGCAATTCAAATATAAAAACAATTATTAGTGGTATATTTATTCATATAAAATAGATAATGAGGGTATAAAAATTGTAATAAAATATGATTATCAATGGCGATATAAGATATGAATATAAATATAAATGAACGCCAAAGCACACTCAAACACCAACAAAAATCTTCTTAAGTCCGGCCCATATGTGTTTAAAAGCCAACTCCGGTCCATGTCTTGAAATCCAAATTTTTGCATTTAAGTCCCTTTCATTCCAACTTTGCATAAAAATCCAATCTTGTAGATGGGAAGTTGAGGTTTATTCTTCATTAACCTGTAATTAAAGATAAAAAAAAGTTATTAGTGGTATATTTATTCATATAGAATAGATAATGAGGGTATAAAATTGTAATAAAATGTGATCATCATGTGATGAGATTAATCTCGAAGAGATCACTTGTGTGGATTGTAAGATCTCAAGAGGAGATAGTTATGAAGAAGTTTCGGCTTCCAAACCGGGTATGATAGTGAAGTTACCATCGAGAGAGGTGGTCGAGGACGTAGGTCGGAGAACCAAACCTCGTGAACATATCGTGTGTCGCTATTGGCTAACTATTCTCTAAACTCTTTCTTTATTTATTGCCTTTGCATTTAATTTGGTTGGTGTGTTGCATTGACAAATTTTTTAATTGCACATTTATTGTCACATTACCCTATTCACCCCCCCTCTAGGGTAATTTTATTTGGTATCAGAGCAAGGTCTCTACATACTTATTAGGTCTAACCACCTTAGAGAAAAGATCTAAATAGATTCTACAATGAATGTGCATATGCTTGAAGGTCAATCAACCACTAGACCCCCTTTGTTCACCGGCAATAACTTTGCATATTGGAAAACTAGGATGAGAATTTACTTGCGATGCATTGATCTTGATATTCTAGAAATAATAGAGAAGAAATATGTTGAGAAGTCTAGTAAAGATATGACCGAGCATGAAAGGCATTTGGCTAACCTAAATGTTAAAGCCATGAACACTTTGATTTGTGGTCTCACCCCTAATGAGTACAATAGGGTCTCCACATATGCAACCGCACATGAGATTTGAGAGAAACTATGTGTTACTCATGACGGAAGCCCCCAAGTCAAAGAGTCCAAAATTAGTAGCCTCATGTATGATTATGAGTTATTTAAGATGCTTCCTAATGAGTCAATTGATGCCAAGTTTTCTCGATTTACTAACATTGTCAATGAATTGCATGGCCTTGACTAGTTGTTGGAGAACCAAGAGAGAAATTATAAAATTCTTCGCTCTTTAACGCTGGCATGGGAGCCTAAAGCTATGGCTATCGAGGAATTCAATAATCTCACAACGCTTACACTTGATGGTCTCATTGGTAAGCTCAAGGTCCATGAGAAGAAGATCAAAGAGAAGGAGGAAGAGCTCTCACGAGCAAATGAAAAGCCTTCCCAAAAGGTGAAAACTATTAAGCTCAAAGGAGCTATTGATGATTCCTCCTGCTTGAATAGTGATGTAGATGTATCTAGAGAAGTGACACACCTCTCTAGAAGGATATCAAGAATAATAAAGATGAATAAAAATTTTAAGAATCGTTCTAACAAGTTCCCCTCTCATGTAA